ATGTGTTTGTTAGCAGATAGGGCCATCAGTGGGTTTCAAGCTTTTTTTTTCTGGTGACCCAATTAAAGAAAGTTGTTGTCTGAGACCCAACCATTAGGGCTAGGGCAGAGGGCTGGGATACAGGGTGAAGGGTTGTGGGGCTGGGGAGGAGAGTTCATGGTGTAGGAGGGTCTCTGGGCTTGGGTTGGGGGTGCAGAACAGGGTTAGGGCTGGTGATGCAGGCTATGAGATGGAGCTGTGGATGAGGGATTTGGGGTGCAGAAGGCTCTGGGATTAGGGGGTTCAGGGCTAGGGCAGATTGAGACACAGAGTTGGGGCACTAGCTTTCCTCCCATGACCTCTGGTGAGCCGGGGTGCGAAGGCAGCTTCCTGCCTCTCTTGGCATCATGGACCATGCTGTGCCCCAGAGGTGGCCAGCAACAGGTCTGGCTCCTAGGCGGAGGCATACAAGCAGCTACACGGCTCTCCCTTGCAGACGCTGACCTTCCCTGGCTCTGAATTAAGGCAAAATAATTATGAGCAGGATCACTAGGCAGTGTGGCCATAAACCAGGATATATATGGCTCCTAGACTCTTCCTTGCCTACAGAGGAACATGAAAACTTGGAGCTGTTTAAAGTCTGTTGGTTTTCAATCAAGTATTATTGATGCATGAGATCCTTCAATATTTTCAAGGGACTTCCATGGGAAAATGCTACTATTGTTAGGGGCTAGCGCTTATGCTGGGGGTGGAAGTAGAGGCTAATTGTTGGCCAATTAAAGTTTATGGAGCAGTGCAGGACCCACTCGGAGGGGTATTAAGGAAGAAAGACAAAGCAAATCCATTTCTCCAACTATGGCTTTTGTGGCACTACTGATGTTGAATGAGTTACTGTGGGTTTTTAAAAGCGCCGATTGCTTAAGGAGAATAACTGGATCATAAGACAAACTCAATGGATGTCTAGTCTAGCAGTCCCCAGGGAGAGTGGGGCGGGAGAATGGGGGGGAAGAGGGAGGGAAATATATGCATGCAGCATGTATTAGTACAAACACTGAATTTGAGTCAAAACTTTTTTCTAGTCCAGTCAGTCTCTCTCAAGAGAGTACCAGAAATCTTAGATTTCAAGCATTAAGTTAAACTTGATGTAAAAAAATTAAAAAAAAATCAAGATCAGTCTTAATAGCATGAAAGAATCAGCAGAAACTACTTAATTATAGATCTCACCAAGTCACGCTCCCATCCTACAAAACATTACTGTTCTCGCTTGGTCCACCCCTACTCAGCAAAGCTTTCAAGCATACACTTAACTTTGCTGGAATTTAAATGCTGTGCAGACCAGGGAGGGCCCAGAGATGGCCAGGTGAAATATACCTCTCCTTTCTAGCTAGGGAGCAGCTGGTTGTTTGCAATCCTAGGTAAACTTAATGAGCGACAAGCAAAAATATCAAGCGATTGTCTGCAACTGAATTTGTGGCCGGTGACTGTTAGTTCTCAGACAGGGATGGCTAGAGGCCTCACAGCTGATTCTAAATGTAAACCAAATCCCTTCTTGTTTTTACAGGTGGCTTAGCTAAGCTGGGCCCTGAAGCGATAGCTGGTCATTTGTTATCTGTTTCAGTGAATGTCCTAGAGAAGCAAAGATTCATTTGGATCCTTTGCTTTCTCGTCCTTTGGAGGTTTGTTTTTTCATCAGATTGAGCAAAGTATTAGTGCCAAAGGTGGGCTTGCCCGGGTCTGAGTTTCATCCATTCAAATGCATAGCACAATGCAACGCAAACAGAGATAACAGCCAACCTTGCAGTTCCATAGAGGAGAGTTTGTACCCTCCTGAAACTTTAGTTTTAATCCGCGCAGATGTAAACGAGTCACTTCTTTTCCAGAGTGTTCATTGTTTGTCCTAGTCCCTGACCTTAGCCACTTTGGAGCACACGCCATAAAGGAAAGTCAGCTGTGGAACTCAAGCGGAATTGCTTGTACATCATGTAAGATTACGGGACTAACTGGTTTAGTAAAAAGAAGGAACTGAAGGGCAGAGGGGAGAGACAAATCAGGAAAGGGGATTTGTGCCTCCCCCACTAGCCCACCCTGGGTGAAGGAGGCTGAGAAACCATTGGGCAGTCTTTTAGATAAGGCGGCCCTCACCCATCCTGTATTATGATGTTTTAGATGATTGTCAGTGGCTGCAGAACGCTAGCGACTGTTTTATTGTGACGATGAGTCACTCAATTGTTGAGCACTAAAGACGTGAAGAGCTTTAAGAGCTATTAATGAAAACTGTTATACAAGAGCCAGATTTTTGTTCACATTGGTGCATGTCTGCATCACTCTAATGAAGAGAATCAATAAAGTTCCTCTGTTTTACACCTGCCAGGGATTTGGCTGGATACCTTCCTTTTGCTCAGCGGCCGCATCTGAGCGCCCAGCTGCCCCCACGGAGAGTTTACCCCCACCCCCGTAATCTCCCCCCACTCCCAAATGAAAGGAGACTATCAAATGGCATGTGTCACCAAATTCTATCATAGGGGTAGGAGGGTGGGTGGGCCTTGTAACAAGGAACACCACTGTTCCCTTCAGGAGGGGGACAGGCAGAGTCTGGGTACATGCAACGCAGCCTCCAGTTTGACAGGAAAAAGACCTGCCCGGGTGAGGGATGGAAGATGAAGCGGTTTGGGGTTCTGCCCCTGCATCTAGGAGCACCATCTGGAATGGAAGACCCAGGGGTCTGGTCCTCCGTTGAGCATTAGTCTCCAGCAATGACAGGGTGTTGGTTTGGGAAATCTGTAAAGGTTTTCTGTGTGTTCATCATGGGTGGGAAGTTCTTCCCGTGGGGAAACCATTTCCCATGTGGAAACATAAAGCTTGTGGCAAAGTACTCTGCTGGAATGGGACCAGTAAGCTGAGCACCTTTCCAGATTTAGCTCCCCAAGGCCAGGTCTACACAAGGAAACTATTTCAGAAGTGCTCAATTCAACTTAACTCCTGATTTCACAAAAACGAACTAGCATGTCCTCACTATGGGGAAGCCTCAAAATGAGTTTGAGGCAGGCTCTGTTAACGGGGACGTGCTACCTCAGACAGAGCTCCAGAAAGCACCGGGGAGTAATTAGTTGAAATGGCTAATTAGTAATTAGTTCTTCTTTACACAGCGCACCATCAACCCTTGGAACTCCTTGCCCAAGGAGGTTGGGAAGGCTAGGACTATAACAGGGTTTAAAAGATGACTAGACAAATTCATGGAGGTGAAGTCCATTAATGGCTATTAGCCAGGATGGGTAAGGAATGGTGTCCCTAGCTTCTGTTTGTTAGGGTACGTCTAGACTACAGGGTTTTGTCGACAGATACTGTCGACAAAGCTTCTGTCAACAAAGAGCGTCTACACTACATTCAGTTCTGTCGACATGGCAGTGTAGACGCAAGGACAGTTTACATGCAATAACGCTTTCTGTTGACAGAACTCTGTCGACAGAAGGCGTTATGCCTCGTGAAATGAGGTTTACCAGCGTCGACAAAACTGCTGAGTTCTGTCGACGTTATGTCGACAGAACTCAGCGGTAGTGTGGACGCAGGTATAGTTTTGTCGATAAAAGTGGACTTTTGTCGACAAAACCCTGTAGTCTAGACACACCCTAAGAGGGTGGAGACGGATGGCAGGAGAGAGATCGCTTGATCATTGCCTGTTCAGTTCGCTCCCTCTGGGGCACATGGCATTGGCCATTATGGGCAGATTGGCCAGTCTGGGTCAGACCAAAGGTCCATCCAGCCCAGTATCCTTTCTGATGTTCTTATGACTCTGCGGAGTAGTTATTTCAAAATAGCGGCACTGGAGCATCCACACTAATGATATTTTAAAATAACTATTTCAGAATTAGTACGATTCCTCATGAAAAGCAGGAGTACCGATTCTGAATTAAGTGGCCCATTATTTCAAAATAATGGGCTTGGCAGTGAAGAGACTCCGCTTATAAATTCGACATAAGGGGGGAGGGGGAAGAGGGGTTATTTTGAAATAAAGTCCTAGTGTAGACCAGGGCTAAAGAAGCAATAATGAATAGTGCATGGCTGTTGAATGGAAAAGCAATATAATTAACCTGACACTGTGAGGCTATTGCAGTGAGAGACATTGACGCAGTCTACGTTGGAACATTACCCATTCTATTTATTTATGTTAATGCCATTAGAATTGCTTTAACTCTGTGAAAACTTGCTGGGTATTAGAACGTGGATATTTCAAACAGTAAAACCTCAGGTCAAGGCCCTCAAAGGAACTACATCGTGCTACATGCAACGAAACAGTAAAGAACCAAATTGTATTCATACAAAGAATGCTTTGGTTGGTTGGATAGGCTGCTTCTGTGCAAAATCCAAGATTGAAAAGCACAGTTTGCGCACAACAAGTTACACGGACCTGACACTGTAAAATATTAATGCAGCAACATATGGCTTCATCGTTTCAAGCCGCAAAAGAAAAAATGTGGATTTTGAAGAGTGAAAATGCATTTGCAAATCAGCCGGCCACAGTCGCAATCCCCAACCTCCAGTAAAAGGACCGAACCATCTGCATGCTGCGTGCAAACCGATGACTCTGGCTCCGTGCCTATGACGTTACGACCCATTAAGCTAGTGGGAAGAACATTGTTCAGGAATTACAGGTCACTTTGGAAACACTACAAAAATACATCCTGGATTCGTCTTGAGAAATACTCCAAAGTGCCCATTACCGCATAGACTGATGTGAGTTAAAAGGCAACGTAGGGTGAGATCTTGGCCCTGTTGAAGTCAGTGGCCAAACTCACATCCGTTTCAGTGCATTTGAGATTTTTCTCTTCTTTCTCCCCCTCTCTCCCCGCCAAGTCCCACTAATGGCTCCCATACACAGAAATGTGGAGAAAATGACAGAGCTGGCACTCTGGCTGTGTGGATGCAGGCAACCCAAAGTGCTTTCGCTCAGAGCTGCAGCTTTAAGTCTCCAGCACTTACGGAGGCCTGTCTTCCTTAGCAGAACTCCCCAGCGTATCACTTACCCGGGGGCTAGAGGAGGTTCCCAGGGGCCTGTTGAGGTGTTTGCCAAGCTCCGATGTCTTCCCCTTCTGAACTCCAATCTGTCAGATTACGTAGCGTCGCTTCTGCTCAGCAGCCTTTTGCAGAGTGGAGTTTTCCGCCAGTGACCCTCTGTGAAATGCCACAGCAATAGTAAACTAGTGCCAGCCTCTCGCAAAATGCACGCTGCGGCCAAAGGCGCAAGTCGAGAGGGTACAGGGCCCTACCCGGAGCCCTGCCTGGCCTGGCAGCGGGGCTAAGGCTTCGGGGTCGGCCTTGCTCACTGCTGGCAGCGAAGAGCCTAACAACTGGCCTTCCAGCTTTGAGCTGGGCACGCTCCTGGGCTACCAGAAATCTGCCCCTCTTTGAGCAGCAGAGGTGCTTGCAGGTCCTACGGCAATACAAAGCAACGGCACCGACCTTTCAGTGATACAGGTTGGACCTCCCTGGTCCAGCAGCCTCGAGATCGGACTGGTCCCAGATGGGGGATTTTGCAGGACCAGGGGAGGTCATATCTGGCCCCCCTGACACCAGCCCCTAGCCCTGACCTGGCAACTAACCTCCCGGCTGGCTCCCCCTCCCCTCTGCCCCCCCCCCCCTCCCGCCCGCCCCCCCCCCCTCCCGCCCCCCGCCCCATCCTGCCAGCCCCTCCCACTTTGCCCCAGACTTGGCACATCTGTCGGGCTCTCCCCACTGCCCTGACTGAGATACTTCCCTGGCGCTGGTTGAGCACCTCCGTCAGCACTGTACTTGCCACCACCAACCACCCACGTGCCTTGACTCTGGTGGGACCTGAGGCGCGCTGACATGACACGACTGGCCCGAGGCCCCTCAATCCGTCTGTGGCATGACAGGGAATTGAACCTGGATCTCTGGCCACTGCGCTACCTCTCAGCAGGGCCTCTGGCTGTAAGAGCAGGGGCGGGCACGTCCCTGGTACCGCTGCCGCGCAGTCAGGCCACCCAAGGGGGGTGCCACTCAGAGGCGGTGTGCCAATGCTTGCGAGACACACGGAGACTACACGCATTTATAGCCGCCACCATCTAGGGCGGGACAGGTGACACCTCTCTAAACCGGGTCTCTCTGGCCTGCCACCATTGCAGCACAGATGTTCCAGGACCTGAGAGTCCCGGTGGAGGGCTGGCGGCTGGGAGCCCTGAGGGCGGGCAGGGCAGCATAGCTGCCCAGCGGGGCTGAGAAGCCTGGTGGAACTGGGGCAGGGAGCGCTCAGCGCCACCCAGAACTCGCTGTGCCAGGCCTCAAAGCTGCCCGGGGAGCGCAGCACCGTACTCCGGTAGCGATTTGAAGGGTTTGGGGCTTTCCCTGCTGCCGCTCCTGTGGTAGCAGCAGTGGCAGCTAGGAGCCCTGGGCACTGCAGAATTGCCAGGACCGGGGGCAACGGTCCCCTTTGTTCTCCTCGCACTGGTGGGCCTGGCCTCAGGAAGCCCTGGATTAGAGGGGTGTATCCAGCGAACAGGGTAGCAGCCCCTTGGTAATACTGCAACGTGCTTATTGTCCAATTCTTGCACCAGGAGCAGTCTCTCTTAGCTACCGACTGCCCCCGTTCTGCCCAGGCTCAGCATCTGGATTTAGGCCGCGGTGGGGAAACTAAGTCCCGGGGGCTGGATCCAGCCTCTGAGGCTTGGGGCACCCCCCACCCCAACATTGGGGAGTTTGCTCTGGTGCTCCCGCCCACCCTCCTGCAGGGCTGGAGCACACAACATCTACTAGGCAGGGCCCTCCCAGGCTCAGGTGTGCGAGGGGGATGTGGGGAGGGTCTTCTCACCTCAGTGAGGGGTGTTTTTGCGTCTCAATTGTGCGCGCCCAACCCAGGATTGGTGGCTCCCGACCCAGGACAGGTTCCCCACCCCTGCCTTAGGAGAACAGACCCACTGTACAGATCAACCCAGTATGGTGCATGCTGAAAACCCTGGTCTCTAGACAAGTGAATCTGAGTCGTCTTTGACTCAGAAAAATCCGCCCCCGTAGCCTGGGGGCCTACGCAGCATTGCTCCCTGCCAGGCCCACAGGAGAGGGAATGCTCCACACGTGGGTTTTATTTTTCCGGCTGTGTTACAGCGTGTCAGGGACGGGCACTCACCACCACGGCGCCTCCCGCTGGTCCCTCGGGGAATCAGCTCCTTGCCTCAGCATGCCCGCTGCCAGTCAGCGTCCCAGCCCCTGGCGCAGGCGTGGGGCTGGTCCAGCTCCTGCCCTAGGTCAGTGCCCCGACATTTTGGGGCTCACCTCCCAACAAACAACACCTCCTGTCTCCCTCACTGACCCACTGTCAGGCATCTGCTAGCTCACAGGGCCACACTGCAGCCTGAAATGGCCACGCACCATGGGCAAGGGGTGTGGGCCTGCTGCCTTTGTCTGCCCTGGCTGCCTCCCCACAACCTGAGAGTGGGGTCAGGCCAGAACACCCCAGCTCCGCCTGCTTTTCCCCAGCACTGCCCTGCCTCAGGAAGCCTCCAGCTTCCCTGGCAGCCAAGTCCCTGCTGAGCCAGAAGCAGAGCCAAAGAGTGTGTGCTCCCCTCAGGCCAGCCTCATTTGCACAGCCCCCAGCTGGGCCCTAATTAGCTGTATCAGCCTCAGCTGCAGGCTCCTCTCAGCCCTCTTCCAGGGCTGGGTTTAACCCTTACAGAGCCAGTGCAGGCAGCCGCCCTGTCACAGTGCAATAGCCCAGGCTTGCAAACCCGCCTCCGGTAAGTGCTTGAGAGACTCCAGGGAGTTTAAAGAGAAGGCTTCCAGCCAGTGCTCTGTGGGGCAGGCAGCCCCCGGGATCAGTCACTAGCTCCCCCAAGAGCCAGTTCCTCCTTCCCACCAGCCCCGGCGCAGGAACGCTGACAGCCGGGGGAGATTTTGGCAGGCAAAGCCAAATGCCAGCCCACCCCTAGAGAGAACTTCTTTGCTCCTGGCTTTCCACCAGGGCGACTGTTTCAAAAGAGCTGAACAGCCTGTGGGGAGGGAACCATTAAGTTGGCAAACCCCAAAGGGGAAAACTTGTGCACCACACGGGACGGCCCCAGCCTTCAAGGAACCTAAGGACCATTAAGGGTCATCACCTCCCAAATCCAGACACATCACCAGTGCTCCCTGTAAACTGAGCGCGTAGGTACCCGCTCAGGAGAGATTCAGGCACTGCCTGGCTGATTAGGAGAGCGCTCACAGCTACCCACGGCCCACTTCTTTCCCTCTTGCCGGGGATGCTGGGGAAGAGCTGGAAAATGTAGGCGTGTGTCTCTGGTGGTGCACATCCGTACATGCCTTGGTGCGCAGAACAAAATTTATTCCACTCATGGATGGCAAAATTAGAGAGAGCACTGCACATGGCTAACTGCCTTGCTCTAAGACAACTCCGGGTGCAGTTAAACAGCCCAAACAACCCCCTGCAGAGAGTGGGTGAGCGGACACACACTGCACACAGCAGACGCTTGCCTTCCAGCCCTGCACGGAGGATGTGGCTTCCCGTTGCTATGGTAACCAGGCAGAGTCGAGACGACCAGAACCAGGCCGTTGTGCGAGCGGCCCGGGAGCACCAAATGCCAGTGCCCCGTCTCCTAGAGCAGTGGGAACGTTTTAGTTCCGTCCCTGGCTCACACAGCCGTGGCTCAGGATTCGATAATAATCCTGGCCGGTGTGAATTGTGGCCTAGATTATTTCCCGTTGGGGTTGCTGTCAGCTGGGAGGTGCTTCACTCTGTTCTCCAAGCCGCCTGGCACTCCAGGTCTTGGCTCCTCCGTGCCGCCTTGGCTGCCCAGCCCAGAAACTCCTTCAAAGAAGGAGAAACTGTAGCCTCTTCCAGGGGCTTGTATCTCGAGGTCCCTGGGCTTTGGCTCCTGGGCTATTCTCCGCCTGAATTTCTAGCTTCCCTGGGGGCAAACTGGATTTTGTCTCTGGCTCCCCACCCTTTGTTGCCTGGTCCCACCAGACACTGCAGGGACCAGGCGCTCTAAGCCCATTCATTCCCTCTTGCCAGATAGGGAGCCGGAAAGCAAAGTGGCTGAAGCGAACCAGCAGAGAGCGTGGCAAAGATCCTGCATTTTGTGGTGGTTTGAAAGGCTGAGTGCTGTGAGTGGAACTGCGCAGCGCATGACCCCTTCGAGGATAAACAGGGCAGCTGAAATGGCGTACGTTCCCTGGCAAATTCAGGACCGTATAAACCAGTATCGCCCAGGGTGGGTTTCCCGGAAAGCAAAGTGGCTGAAGCGAACCAGCAGAGAGCGTGGCAAAGATCCTGCATTTTGTGGTGGTTTGAAAGGCTGAGTGCTGTGAGTGGAACTGCGCAGCGCATGACCCCTTCGAGGATAAACAGGGCAGCTGAAATGGCGTACGTTCCCTGGCAAATTCAGGACCGTATAAACCAGTATCGCCCAGGGTGGGTTTCCGCAGTGCGGGTGACTAGTGAGCATCGGGAGGAGGAAGGGAACGAGGCTAGGTTGTTTCAGACAGGAGTGGCACCCGTTCATGAAGCCAGGAACACGTTCTGGCTCAAGTCTCCTGCTGGCCAAGACTGGCCCGTCTTGAGGAGGGAGTGTACTGAACTCTGGGGATGCAAGCCGGGGGCTGGGCAGAGTGCGTGTGCACATCTCAGCTTTGAGGAGTCTTCCCGACTGCGTGGGCTCAGCTCGGCTGAACAGGGTCGCAGCTCTTCGCGGCGCTCGGCTCCGAGGCAGGCTGTCGGCCTTCAGGGCTGATGTCGTGGGTCACAGCCCAGGATAGCTCTCTGGGGCAGGATCTGGTGACCTCGCGGAAGGGGTGGATCTTCTGGGCCAGGCCTCAGCAGAGGCCGAGAGACGTTTGACACATTTGGTCCTCTTTGAATCAGGTGCATTTCCCACCGTGGGCTCTTGCATCTCCACCTGTCTTTATGGAGTGCAGTGAACCAAAAAACCATCCAGAAGATGCAGAAGAAAGGGGCATTCAAGACCTGGGACTTCAGAAAGAATGGTTCACGCGATCCTGGACTCATCATCCCGTGAGTGGCGGGCTGCTGTCTGGCAGCAGGTTGGGAATCTGGTGCAATCTGTCCACCTGAAAAGAAAATGCCGTTCTTCCTGAAAAGTACTAGGTGTAACGGCATTGCGCAAGAGAGTTTTTCTTGTGCAAGAAGGGGCAGTGTAGACAGC